TTTCATATAAATTTTGTCGTCCTGCTTATTGACATATTTTAATCCGTGAATATCTTTCGTTGGTGCACAGGATTTCCGTGCGACGATTTTTTTGGATACGATGGAGCAGCTTCTGCGGTCCAACCTTTCTCTTCTCTTTGGCCTGCTCACTGGGGAATATGCTGATCGTATAAGGACCTTGTTGTGCAGATGATGCTTTACGATTATGCGTAGAAAACTTTATGGGATATCAACTCATGCAGTCGTTTTGGGATCAGGGTGAACGTTGATGCTGTGCATACCTTCGCCCTGTTTCCTTAACACTCCCCCTGAATATAACCGCCGCAGGTCTCTTAGGCTCTTAGGTTTACCCCTCCTCCTATCTGCAGTTATTCCCAACTTTAAAAAGCGTCTTATGGTTGGCTGTGCCATCTGTTTTGTTACATCAAGTCGTTTGTAGATGTACCGTGCCAAAGGCGCTTTCAAATGCAATGCTAGATTGATTCACGAGGCTGTGAGGCTTCCAAAAGCCTCACATGATTATTTTAAAACTTCCAAAAGTTATCACTAGGAAGGATATGTACAATGTAATCTACCTTGTGAAATGGAAGAAATCGAATGAAAAGCTGTAAGCTCAGCTAAAATTTGGTATGAGCGTCAGCGCGCGCTGTCATCATAATTTTGGCCCACCCTACGTTTAAGTGTGGTACCGAGTGAGCTTTGGAATGCTTGAACTTAGAATGTGGAGATGGGGACAACAAAAACTAGTCAAACCGGCAGTTCAGTCAATGTCTATTATCTAATGAAAGAAATCAAGGAATGATATTGCTTTAGTTTACTTAGCCACGTTCTCTTCTCAGAATTTCACTACTGGTTTGTTTGGATAATTCTTTTACTGCCAGGATTAGTTTTTCCGTAGAAATTTTTCCAGAGTTTGATAGTGTGATTATCAACATTCTTGAGAGAAAGTGGTGCCGCGCTGAAATATAGAACGACCGCTATACGTTGTCAGGGTGAAGCTCGTGTCTGCCTCAGAGTTATCCCAGCTAGTACCTAATCGATAGTCTCCGGACCTAACGTCGATTATTTTTTACCCATTCGGTTGGTAAATCGGTATCATAGTCGTGCAGGAGGATAAAAACACTGGCTTGTACGTCGGCTGGCCACCAGAAGTCGTTGTATAATCCATTTATGCATTCAATATGCTGCTAAGACGCTGAGCTGAAGTTGCAATGCATCGCCAGGTTGATCAACTACGAGACTTTATTCTTTTTCCTTCAAACGGCAGTGCGCCTTTCTTATGCACAAAGAAAGCCAGAAATCGTCAAAACAATAGACGATAACTGCTAACTGCTGCATGGGAAACATTTGTTGGAACAGAGGCGGAATAGAGGTCAGCGATATTTCATTGATGAGCTGAAGAGAGTATGGCAAAAATTCACATTCTACTTCTTACAACCGTAGTCGTCGATGACTGGTTAGGCATGAGACAGAATGTGATCAGCCCCATTGCACGATTGTCAAGAGGTGTATAGTGTTCCAGCGCCGAGGGGGCGCATAGGTTCAGAAACCCACTGCTTAGTATACAAATTGCCCTTATCCCTTCAGGGCTTTCAAGCGTGACTTAGAAGGTATACCTTTCTGACTACGATTTCTTACTTGAACTTTGGGTTGGCTTTTCGACTTCTTCTACCAATGTTCTTCTCCTTTTTCTTCAGTGTTCCTCTCACACGAATGTGGAGTCCTTCCAAGATCTGTTCTACCAATACCTATATCTCATATGTACGGTCGGGGTCGGCCGGTAGCATTGATGATCGTTGACTGTTAGTAGTAAGCTCTCTTCTTTAAATATTCGTTGTCTGTGAGTAATACTACAGGTTCTAGGCGAACCAGTAAGCATTTGTTTATCCAAATCGTTAAGCTCTTTCTGAACAATTTCCTTGGGATAGGAGTGATATGACTCATCTCGTTGACAGATGAGGATTAAATTTTTTATTAAATGTGACTCATTCTCTGACTGGGTTTCATTTCTGAACTAAAACCGTGCTCCGACATGCTTTCAAGGGTCCAACCATTTGTGCATGAGATGAAAACCCCTGATATTCCCTTTTCTCTCAAGGAAATTAGTTATGAAAGTAGTTTAATAATTGAGCGTGTGCAAACATGAATGAAGACAAAGAGACGAGGCTCACATGGCATCATCGAAGGCTCAGCTCAGCATTTTCAGGTTCAGGCGCATGGGACAGAAAGGTTCTAAATGTCGTTTGAGTGACGTTTGAAGATACCTGGGGCATTGGAGAGATTCTAAAGGTGCTTTATGCGTTTCTAGGATTATTGCATCAATCTTTACGTGGTACTAAAGGTTCCCTGGAAGCCCTAGAAACTCTCTAAATTCAGGCTTTCATGTGGAATGGCAATATCGGCAGTACGGAGCTCTATGCAACTCTCACCAAGTAACCTTTGTCCGAGCAGGTGAAAGGTAGTTCTAAAGAGGTCTCAGAATAGTCCCAAGAATAAATTTTACTCAGGAACTGCCGAGAAGAACTGGAACTTTGGCAAATGCTCGACCTCCTGTAAACAAAACGAAATTCTCTAGTTGTTAGGTGAACGAATAAAAACGCTTGATAAGTATGTGCAAATAACGTTACAAAGTAGAGTGGGCGCGTTCTGCGCCGAATAAAAGAAGGAACCTTCCACAACGCTAATCCCTGGCCGAAAGAATGCTGTCGATTACAAGGTGAGTCTTTTGCGGAGATCTATCGTGCATAATTTCTATTGCTATATCGTGGTCAGCCAACGGTTTGCGACGGATTATTCCCTACTGTAGGGTAGGTGTTTTGTAGTTGGAACGCTTGACCATAATTCATTTTCATATTCAGGCTGATGATAAGTTCACTTAGCGAAATTAATCAGAAAAGGTTGAGTTTGGAAACTGGTTGGTCTTTTCAAATGACCTCTGATCGTTCAAAGATCACTGCGAGACCGTTTATGCAACAGTGAAACCTGTCTATGTGTCAGCTATAAGTATCTCGAGCAGCAACTGTCGGAGCAACTGGAATAGCAAATAAATCTCTATCTATGCGACAACGAGTCTATGTGACTCAATGGCACAGTTCAAGACAATTTTAATATGCCCTTTTTTGTTGAATTACGGAGTGTTGGCGCAAAATAGTAAACAGAAGTGTAAAGGAAGTGTGACAATCCCCGAACACACGGTATGTGGTTTCTACAGACTTGCTGATTTTGGGCTTTATAAAATGATGGCGAGAAGAGGGGTATTTGGAGAAAATTTTGCTCGGAAACAACTGCTCAAAGCGCTGATCACACTTATCATAATCTGTCTTGACTAACCGAGCCGGAGAGCCATTTGGGTGGCCGATAGAGTGGGAAGGGTAGAAAAGCGGTGGTGAAGGTGTAAGTTTGGAGCAAAATTTGTGGATCGATTTTTAAATGCCTGGGTAGCTATTTGAAAATGGATTCAAATTATGTAAATTTTGGATGTTTACTTGGAATGGTCTTATTTTCATCTACCCATTTCTCCGACTACTTTCTATAGAAGCGAATGCCTTCTGTTTAGAAGCATAGCAGGCGTCATCGCTAATGACTTACCCTCAGGAACTTTGGTGAATTGTGGAATTCAAAATCAGACTTTTAAAATTTTCAGGACACCATTTTGTAGAGCTTGACGATCTGAGTTGAACCAATAGCATACCATATTGTATGAAAATTTGAAACCAACCTAGGTACAGAAAAAAAAAACGAAAAAAGCGCGAATCTGCGTTTTTCCGTGATTTCTGAACATTTAGGGGTAGTATTGTGTTTCCACTGCCAAGATTGGCTTCCTGTTACCGTCAACGATAAGGCCCCATGGCCCTAACAAGTCGAATTCCCAGGATTTTCGCTTTGTTGCGCAGAATACAATATCTACAAGGCCGGTGAAACACGGCCGATTCTGGATGTTTCATCCAGTCTTGCAGACCTCATTGCGCCTTATCTATTCAATTTTTTGACTCTGAAATCCCTATACTTGCCCTTCGGAGCAAAATATTCACCTCAGTGAAAAATCACAAAATCCGTTTTCATTGTGTCCTGTTCCTTGACTCTATCAGAACGGGCACCACATTTGCTATGGGAGTACATGTGGATTTCTAAGTTACAGGTGGAATTCATCGCTACGGAACGGCTTACTGGTTCAGTCAGAAACAGACTGGAATGTCAAATAGACAGGGCAACTCTGTACTCTGATACAGAGTAGAAGAAAAATTCATGGAATGTGCTACTCGTGCTGCATACGTATGATTTGTAAATATTGCCATGACACAAGTCAACCTCCGACTGGTATCGTAGTTGTTGATTCTAACGGTCCGTATGGAAGAGAATTTGTTATTGGGGTGTTGGAGCCATGCTAATTACATATAAGTAAGGCCTTTCGATGCTTCGCATTAACTTCAGTTAAACAGCTAGGATTGGAGATCCCTGATTTTGGGCAGTAGCTTCCGATCACACGGAGGAGATTACCGCCATGCTGCCATTACCATTTGTTATACCGTCGTACTGTCAATTACCATATCGTCGCCACTGTTGTTCAACATTAGAGAAAAAAAATAAATCCTGGGAGAATTTAAAAAAGGAAACCAGACTTTCCCTGCATCAGCCCCATTTACTTAGCAGATCGGTGAAATTCGATAGCATCCAGTCTGTGACCACAGTGGAAGACATATGTTGACCTACTTCAAAGCTCAGTATGGGACTCAAATAATAATAGGTCCTTCCTTATAGGAGGCAACTAACTACAATATCTTCTTTACTTTTTTGCCGCCCTCAGTCAGCCTTACCTCGTTCCTTTGCATTGTCCTCACCCCCACGTTGTATCTGTGAAAACCGACAACCTGTGTAGTTTTTTTTTTGAGCTCCTCCAGCCACTGTCGTACTCCTCACCTTCGCCGAGCAAACATTACAGTTTAGATAATGCCACTTTTTGCATTTCAAAGAACTTTGAGCAACTTAGCATTGTTCAATCGATGTCGTTCCCTCTCAGGTGTCTCGTTGTCGCTCTGTTGCTGAGCTCTATGCTGACTTCAAGTGATGCCCAAATGATGATGGTAAGTTTCAACCCATTTCTATTTTCAGCTTCAAAAGAGATTTTCTCGCAATCAGAAAAATTAGCTTTTTCTATGGTTACCTGTATATCTTTGTTATGTTTCAGTGCTGTTGTATTTACTGTTTCGGCGGCCTTGGACTTGGCTTCGGTGGCTACGGCATGGGAATGGGTATGGGCATGGGCATGGGCATGGGTATGGGCATGGGCCTAGGCCTAGGATTTGGAAAGAAGTAGCGTTCGATTTTTTTTTCAAAAGCCGTTCTGCCATACTGCCAAGGATGTTGTAGATCTTCGAATCGTCGAATTTAATGAATGTTTCGAGAAAGATTTTGTTGATGCGAATGTTTGAGAATATTTGTAATAAATACTGCTTTTTTACGTCATTACTTTCGTTGTGTTTTAGAAGAATTCTAATGTTGTACACCGCAGATTCCATTGTGCAGCATAGGAAATAATCAGAGCTTAAAAAGTGAGGGCTACGAATTTCAATTCGTATCATAGGAGACGACGCGCATCTCTCATTTTCTCTCAAGCTCCTTGATAATAGGAATTCCTGAAATTCTCTCATTCTCGGTCCCTTTTTGTTCTTCCTGCCCTTCATGTTTGATAATGCCCGAACTTTGGGTCCAAGGTTTTTCCTGAAGTACCTAATGGCAGCTTCGCAAACTGGAATTCTCCTGAGTGTTCTCCACCAGCTGACAAAAACAGAATAAGCTGCTCATCCTCTTTTCTGATCCCCTTGAACCGACAACTTTGCTTCTCGTTTATGTGCTCGCGCTTACTGCGGTGGTGCTTACCACACCTCATGGTGCAACACTGGAACTATAGCAAGCAATTGGGAAGCGCTGCAAGTTTGTCGCTGCCTGAAGAAAGTAATTATGATCAGCCTATTCCAGAGAACAAATTCCACCCCCCTGCCTCCTTTACCTCTCACAGGGACGCGTCTTTGAAGCACCTGCCGCTTCCTCGTACTCATACGTGCGTTAGTCATCTCCTAAAGAGACATTCTGGTTGGGGCAACACTACATTGAATCGTGGAGGGGCTGCGAATATTTCAGCCGATTGCTTTCCATAGAAGCGAGATTACCCCCTAAACATTAATGGCAATAGAAGCACTGAAAGGCTATCTAGCCTCGTCAGCAGTCAGTCTACTCTGATCAAGAGCACCCAAGCGGCTGTAACGTTTCACCTCTGAACTTGTGAAACGCATGTTGAAATGATGAACGAGCCCCAAGTTATAAGCTTTTTGGTTCTTAGGCATATGCATTTCACTTAGGCGGTTCCAGATCTACGACACTAGAAGTGAAGAGATGGCCATTACAATGACTGCTGCATAGTTAGAGGAAAGATTAATTGCAAGAATAGCATAATCCTTTGCTTTACTTCGAAGTCTCTCTTATTTGTTTCCTCAGAAATCAATTCTACTTTACTCTTCATTGGATCACCCAACGATTAGCAAGGTGTTACCATTGTGGCTACCCGCTCCTTCTATTACGTCTCCTACCATAACTACTCGAAAAGAGCGAAGTCTGTAGCTACAAGAGACCGTGCACTTGGTGTGAGGTTTTGCGGAGCGAACAGGGGTGTATATAAACTGATGCCCTCAGTTCATACCGGCTACATAAATCTCGGGCGTTCCGAAGGTTCTGTAACAGTCTATCGATAACATCGCCTAGGTTTCTGTTGACTTTTCGACTTACACATCACAACCACAAATCTTGGGGCATATAGAACGACGAACAGTTACATCAACATAGTGAATCACGTATCAAAAAGGACGTAAATCTACTGTAAGGAGCAGCTGGACAACAATCCGTGCCCTAAAAACCAGGACGGTCGCTGTGAAACTTTTTGATAAAGAATACTATCAGGAAAAAACATTTTGAGCCTACTTGCAAAGAGTTTTCGGTAAAGAGTAAGCTGTGAATGTGGAATATTTCATTAGTAATGCTCAAGCATAACAATAGCTCCTTCTAGTAATACTATTGGGCTATCGCTGCGGATAAGGTGAGTACAATTGAGAAGGCTACAAGTTACATCCAGAAGTTGTAGGTTTCGGAACCCCCACCAAATGAACTCTCAAATCAAACAGTTCCCAGGTTTTTGAACATAATACGAGGCACTTCGCATATCTTCAAATCTCATACTGTCCATACTCTTCTCGAACTGGATGGACAGTAGAACCTGTGCAAATGTTGCGTTAAGACGGTTTTGCTGAGCAACTTTTTTTATGAAAAGATTAGCTGAATTCTTCTTGTTGCATTAGGACTGTAGAGGGTTGGTAGTTGGGATAAACCAACGCTGTTGGTCGCAAATGTGGCGGCTTTCTTCTAACGAGGAAATCACGACTGGGCAATAGGAAATGTGAAAAAAAGGAAATTATAAGAAGCTAATAATACTAATTCATGTGCTGCAATGATAAATACTCGTTCTCATTGAGCAAGTTCTACGAACATGCCTGCGCTCTCGTCTCTGCTGTCATCTAGACCAAGTCCGCCAATATGTTGAGCTTACCTTACCATTCACCGGACCGCTGAGTTGCAACGCGGTGAGAAAAGAAATGGTTGACGCCACACGAATCAATCGAACGCGGTGTATCCGGTCATATATCGAACCCACGCAGTTATAAGTCTATTCGTTAGCCGGTTCTTATCGGACACGCACAACACACCGGCAGACGATACAAGCTTACCCTGTTATTTATCAATGAAAAATGGCACTATAGAGGCTTAGTTTATTTACTGGATTCTTAGTCATGACAACGATTCCTGGGACAAAAAAGAATTCGATCAAGGGTGCATTAGTGGGTGTAATCATGTAATACCAGCTTTATGGGAGAAGGGTAGTAGGAACGGTTCTGTGCAATAGATCCGCCGCATGCGGACTGTCGCGGACCATTTGCTTCGTTATTACAGTTCGAGCGTTCTTCATACAGCTCAATCGCTATGCGATTATTACTTTTGGCATGATTCTACTCTTAGTTCTTTTGTTACTTCTTACTTGCTGCCCTATTCTGCCACATTCCTTCGCGCGCGGCATCCCTCTCGCCGCGACGCGATAATTCCGTACCTACTGCACCACACCCCACCTTCATTAAAGAAAAGGGTGAAGTGAAAGATTGCAAAATCTTGCAAGAGGCTCACTCAATGTTTCAGTAGGGATGGCCGAAAAGCAGTCGCTTGTTGGTAGACTTGAGATGATGATTGCCGCCCTTCAACCGCATACTGGGCTCACTAGAGGAGAAGCTCTTATCCCAACCTGTGAGTTGACCATCAGCTAAGTGGTCAAGGTAAGGTGTAATGAATATGACCATCTCTGTGAACAGTTCCTATTACAATGCTTCAATCCTAGTCGCTGACGCCAGGTTTCCCTCCTCCTCATGACGAAGTTGTAGTAATCGGCTAATCGGCAACTCCTTCAAAACAAATGATACTTCTCTGAACACGAAATTTGACACAAGATTGAAAGGGCGCAGTGCAAGCGGTATATGTACACTATGTGCCTATACTTATACTTATGATCAGAAGTCTCGATCTGTTGCTCTTCATCTTGAGAATAATGACCCATTGAAGATCTGACTGATAGGAAGCCAAATCCTTGAACGGTATTCACAAATGTTTTCGAATAGTAATAACACCATTATCAAATGTCGATAACATTGGAGCTTCCTTCCTCTACTGAGCGTATATCTTAGTTGAGGACCACAGATTATTGGCGGTCGGCAAGTTTGTCAAAATGATGTTGATATAAAGGATGGTCCCTATCACTACACTCACTCGTCTTATGAAACGAAACATATCCCTGTGTCGAAGCTAGAATCGTAAGTAGCAAACGCGTTGAGATTGAATAGGCAAGTGGCTTTTGCTCTTTGAGTTCCCTTATCAGATCTTATCAGCTGTTACCAGCTCAGGTCAAGAGTACCTACGATCTTGATACATCCTACATCACCTATTAAAATGCCAGAGTTCCACTATTAACACGAAGAGTGTTACAAACCTAGTGGCTCTAGACTTCTCTAGGTTCCTTCTTGTCCCACGCCACATACTGAAATGCCGAAGCACCAGCGCTTATAGGAAGGGAGTTATAGTTCCAGTGGCTCTCTCCCTCTATGGCTCGTTACGTTACTATTTCCTAATAGTTGTTATAAATCCTTATCATTGAACACATCTACGACCCCTTCTTAATTCACACCACTTACTTAGGTGCAAAACTTAATGTTAGCACGAAGGAAGTGACGGATAGTGTGTCTTTTAATGCTAACTATCAGCTCCTATCAACTGTTTTCGCTTAAAGCCGCCTATCATTAGTGTTCCCTTCTGCCAAGCTCATGCACTCTAGGCCCAGGGGAGCAAGAGTTACGAATTTTCGGTCAAAAACATACAGCGGCAAACCAACAGACAGACCCAGCGAGTTATTATATTTACGGCAGGACAAACATATAAGCAACCCACACAACAAGTGTGAATACCCAAAGGAAGGCCAATATCCACGTTTCCAAGCTGACTTCGTCGTAATCAACCTTCTGAGCTCTGCAGCGAAGAGAGATGTTAGATAATTCTAAACCATTTGAAATCTTAAAATTTAGAAGCAATTAAACGCTAATAACTCCTCTCTAGATCTTTCTTTCTCCTTTCCTTCTTTCTGCTGATGCATAAAGGGTTGTTCATGAGAGGTGATATGACACCAACTTGTTTGAACACACGGAAATCCTCCGCTGAGCTCCCTCCCACTAAAGGATCTACAGTCGGCTAGTAATGAGGTCATGTGGCCCCAGAAGNTGGAAAAGAACTGTTTCATGGAACAGCGACAGTAGAGGCGTCGGCGGTGTAGGTGTTGTGTTCACTCGAACTTGGTCATGAACTTCGATTCGTACGAAAGTTTTACCCGCAAAAGTCCGAGAAGGTTGTCAAGCTCTTAAGCTTTGTGCGTTCCGATGTTCGTATCCAAATTTTCGAAGATGCCTATATACCGACTCCTCTGCTTCGCGTGTTCCAGGGAACCGTCCTTTTTCAGTCTCAGAAAGCTACATCTCTTGGCCAGCCAGATGACATCGTCCTCTGCCTATTTTGCATCTTCAGATCTTCGATATAAGTTTTCGATGCAAACGTTCGTGCTTTGAAAGTGTAGATTATCTTATCAATGCTTTCAGGCACTCTGTTATAGCCCCGAGAACTTCCACGTTTTCTTACTGCTGATGCATGTTCATGAGAGGTGATATGACACCAACTTGTTTGAACACACGGAAATCCTCCGCTGAGCTCCCTCCCACTAAAGGATCTACAGTCGGCTAGTAATGAGGTCATGTGGCCCCAGAAGAAAGGGTTAATTGCGGACTAAAAGTCGCCGGCACTTGTTCGGAGACGCAGATGCATCCCCTGTCTTTGCTGTGTTGAATCCTTTTATACCCCCGCCATTCAGGTGCATCTTTGCATACGTATGTGAAGAGTCCGCGAGTGCGGTTGTTATCCTGCACATCGGCTCAGCAGAGAGCTTGAACTGGGGTGACTGGACAGCCTGGCTAGCTACCAGGAATCTACCCAGCCCCCACGTCTGATCCCGGTAAGCCACTCGTGAAAAGCCACATACAAAACAGTGAAAAATGAGCCTTATTTCCTGAACACGGTGGAGCTCCACTCCGTTAGAATTAGAACCGCTTGGTGTAGACTGATAAAATCTCGGGGCTATAATGTTCAATTCTGTTTTGCCGTACAGGTTTGTTAGGTGAACCGCTTTATT